AATCCTCCTCCACTTTGCACGTGGGATGCCTCCACCGCATGGGCCAATGAGCAGCGTGCAGGTCCACGCCCAGGATCCAAACCTGCAAACCCCAGGCCGCCAAAGCAGAGTTCGCAAACTTAACCACTAGGCCACCAAGCCGGCCCCAATATTGCTACTTTTTTATGACTTCTGGTACTTGTTAAATATTACAGATATCTTCCCTTCTCTTAGAGGATATGCATTACGAATGTTTTAAGTTCTTAGTTCATCTGAACCAATAATTCTGCTTCAGTTGCTGTATCCTGTTCAGTTTATCTATTATAGTAACTAATTAGATGTTTAGTTACTTTGGCCTGTGAGCTAATGTTTCTATGGGGTAATTGCTGTCTTACCTAATAACGTGTGCTGAAAAAGACCCCAAACCAGGCACTTGTTTAAAGAGAGGAGAGGATGAACCCCTGGGTATAGAATGCTAAGTAACACACAACCACTGACTACACTGATTTGCTGCTGTTTCTTCCAGTCAAGGACTCCTTTAAACTCTTAGAAAGCAGCAGTTTCTTTAGGTAATCAACCATCCCTGGGGGGCTGGAATGAAAGTGAGTGAATACATGCTTGAAGGTAGCTGATTAACTCAACATTTTCATGCCCTGAAATTTCCCCACTGATAGAGTGCTGCATGGATTGTTGCTGCGGATTTCTTTGGCAATGGGGCAAGCAATGATAATCCCAAAGTAATGTGGGCAAGAAGCAACAGCAGAATTTAAAGCTTTCCTAATCCGTTCCCGTACATCACCATACAAATGCCTCTGCCCCGTGTTGCCAATCTCTCCACTCCCATTTCTCCCACAGAAACACACCCAACAATCTCAGAGTTGTGTTTTGTTTTTGCTGTTATTCCTCAGATCTTGTTTTACTTTCACTTCTGTAGTGTCTTGAGAATTGATTTTTTGAGAAGGACCTAGCAGCCCACGCAAGCTCACCATTTGTCAGGAATTGGAAATACCCTAAAGAAAGAGCCCCACCCCTTTACCATTCCACCACTGGTAGGACTGATACTTCCTATTGCTATTTGTGTCAGTCACCTCAAATAGCCAAGGATTCCCAGCTCATCCTTAATCCCTCAGACTTTTACTCACAGGCTCTGTATAGCCCCCTTTTGGACTACATTTTCTACCCCTGCCCAACTCTAGAAACCCTGTGCTCTCTGGAACTCACAGTGTCATCAACAAAATTCCCCATGTCCTCAACAATTTCTCAGTGTTTCCCTCTTGCTCTAAGTGAAACCTGGCTCTTCCCTGAAGACTCTGCTTCCACTGCCTCCTTCCTCCCATGGTAGCTGTTTTCTTTTCCCATCCATCATGCCAGTGGGCCTTGGGGAATGGGGGGGAACTGGCTCTCTTGCTACTCATTTTTGCTTCCACATGATTTTCTAAAATTTTTCTACTTTCTAAAAATGCCCAGCTTTGACTCTTAAGACATCAGATACCACCGCCTATTACTACTCCATGAATCACCTCCCGTGTTCCTTAAAGATTTTAGCCTCTGGTTCAGTTAGTCTTTTCAATACTATTTCTGTCATTTTAATATACATGGCCTTTCCAATACCCTTTTCTCTCAGTTCTGTGACCTCCTATTCTCCTGTGTTTTTGTCATCCATCTTACCTTAGCCACTCATTCCCAGATAAATACCTAGATCTGAACATTATCAATAACTACAATGCCTCAGTCAACTGAATTTCAACCACACAACTATTTGAACATCATCCCTATCTTTCTAGCTCACTCACTCTAAAACCCTCCTAACTCCAAAAATTCTTGAGTCCCACCTAGATCTACAACCCATTGAATTTTACAACTTCTTCACTGTCCTTCACCCCCTCACCCCATCACTTCTCTATTTAAATTGTGGCCCATTATTAAAACCCTTGCCTTTTATTGCTTACTTTACCTTTTCTCTGATTAAAACTATAGATAAACATAGCTGGAGAAAAACACATAACCATAAAAATGTAATAAAATTATATGCTAGGTGCATAACCAATTTTACACAGTGTGTATCTCTCATTAAATATATAGGAAAAGTTTGATCATAAGTTCTGACAAAAAGGAGTTATATCTGATCTTAAATACTTAATTATTCAAAAAAGTCAATCATATTTTGAAACATGCACACACATACACACTTATCAAGGAACTATCATACTCTGCTTCACCAAAAAACCTTGAATTTTTTTAGCCATATGCTAAATTGCACTATTACAAATAAAGTTAGTAAAACCTTGCTGTAAGTAGAGTCCAAAAATTCAATTACATAAAATGCAGGTTTTAGCTATTGTGAGGTTAATAAAATACAGTATACAGTATATTTAGTTGGTGTGTACTATCTCAAAGAGCACAAAATATAGCTAATAATACACTACTGAGAAAGTCCCAAATGATCATGAATCTGTCACTTCTTCACCTCTTTCCCCACAAAAAGAAAAAAATTTTAGCCTATTCCCCTTGAAAAGGAGACTGGGTTTCTAGAAGAGAGTACCCAAATGCCAATTATTATATCTAATGCTTCATTACTGGACATATTAATATTAACATGGGCTTTTGTCATAAGAAAAATCATATTTATCTTGTTTTATAACTAGAGAATGACTAAACATTACATCAAATCTACATTATTTTAATCTTGAGTGCTTTTAGTAATCTATCTTACAAAATGTTCTGTAATTTATTTCTCAGTTTTTGTAAAATTCTTAACAACACTTTAACACATTATTAGAGTGAAAAATGAAGTGACTTTCTTTACTAGAAAGTAAGTATGATTTGGCTGATGGGCTTAAAAATGAGAATTTGCTTTGCTCCAAGATACATGGGGGATGCTTTCCATCAAGTAAACATGATAAGTCTGCAATGCCAAGATTTTGATGAAAATATTTCTAAAATAGATGACAAAATCATTTTAATCCAAAAACATTATATTGGTAAAGACATAATATAATTAACAATATTTCAATGTTTCCAAGCCTTCCAAAGTATACTATGCTAAACTAGGTGCCTCTAAGAGAAAGAGTAACAAGGCATAATTAATAGTCATTTGATAAATATTGATTAAAGCTTTTTGGTATATTTCTCAGAAACTGAGAAAAAAGATGACTGCATAACAAATCCTTTTCCAAGTCTGGTGCCTTCCAATTTTTTGCTCACAACACAGTTAAAGGACAGCTTACTTGAGTAATCCACTGATTATTAAAAGTATTTTTAATCATAGAGCACTAAGTGATTATTTTGTATATATCCAGGAAGGAGTTGAAAAAAAAATGACTAATGTTATAATAACAAATCCCTTCTATTCTTATTTATATGAACATGGTTTCTGGGTGCTTTCAACTATTAAAAACAAAAACACAGGATTGGAACTGATGCTCAATTATCTCATTCTAGCAATAAGATATATTCGTTTACTAATACATGAACTATATGAAAAATAGCCCCATTCATTTTTAAGAGATGTATATTTAAAAAATATTAAACATACAAAGTAATTTTAATACAAATTTATACTACTTTATTTTGACCTATTGCTTATGTCCACAGAAAACTTTTAAAGTTTAAAATTTCAATTTATATACATTTTTATTACATAGAATTATGCTATAGTGATCAATAAGAATTTCAAGCATAAAAATATATGATAAAATTTCGTGAGAAATGAATACAAATATGATTAAAGAGAAAAAGGAATATAAAATTTGTTAAAGCGTTTATTCATGTACACATCTGATAGTGTCCAATCATTAGGTGTTTAGATTCCCTTGGGATATTTAAAGTAGTGCCTTACTAGTTTAATTTTAAAATGAAACATAACATTATGCCAGAAATTAGAAACTTTGCATCTGTTTAAGCCCATGATGAAATATTTATACATTAACTTTAAAAAATTTACAAGGTATAAATAGTTCTTCAAAATTTCCTTAGGAGACACATTAGCTAAAAATGTTGGAAGACTCCTAAGTCATAGTCTCAGAGTGGAATTGATGAGTCTTACTGTATCTTTTGTTTTTTTCTGCTGAGGAAGATTCACCATGAGCTAACATCTGTGCCCATCTTCCTCTATTTTGTATGTGGGTTGCCACCACAGCATGGCAGCCAACGAGTGGTGTACGTCCATGCCCCAGAACCGAACCGGGGCTGCTGAAACAGAGCACACCAAACTTACCACTAGGCCACGGGGCTGGCCCCTATTGTATCTTCTCAAAGAAATGCTTCCCTCAAGTACTCTTAAAATTTTAATGTAATTTAAAAAATCAGTTCCTCAGTCACAGTAGCTACACCTCAAGTGCTGAACAGCCATGAGTGATTAGTGGCTACTATAGAGGACAGTGCAGATACACAACATTTACATCATTGCAGAAATTCCTATTGGACAAATGCTGTTACAGGAATTCTATATTTTCTTAAGATAGAATTTTGGTATAATACGTAAAGCCCATTATCCCAATACCATAGGGTGCATAGTTCATTATTTCCACATTTTTGCGATGTCACCTTTATAATATGCAAAGGTCCTACAATTATATGGTTGTTCCTGGGCTCTCTATTCTGTTTTACCTATTACTATACCAATAATAGAGTTTTAATTATTCCAGCATTACAATAAATTTTGATATCTGATAGGGGGTGTCTCCTTCTAATCTGTTATTTAAAAATTTTTTCTGTTATTTATAGATCTTTTCCTATATAAAAATCAGTATGTCAAGTTCTGGGAGTTTTAATTGAGGCTGCAATGAATTTACAAATTAATTTGGAGGAAAACTGACACCTTTATAATATTGTCTATTCCTTTATTACTCAGGTTTCTTTTATGACCTTCAATGTTTTATAACTTTCTGCACATATTTTAATTAGGTTTACTCATACACATTTTCAAGTTTTGTTTTGGGTTACATTTTTAGTTTGATACTGTTGGCATAATGAAATGCTATTGATTTTTGTATGTTAACTACCTCATTGGGAGTTTGTCAACTGGGCTTTCTATATATATGCATATCATTTGCACATAATGACAATGTTAATGCCTAATAGTTATAGAATACTAAATGATATCATGCGCTGTTATACGTCATTTGTAGCTATTAGCTCATGTAATCCTTTTAAGAATGCTGGGGTGGGCACTATTATTATCCCCATTTTATACAGAGGTTAAGTAATTTACAAAAAGTCACACTGCTATTAAGTGGCAGAGCCAAGATTCAAACCATGACCTTAACCTTTGTTTTACTTTCAATCTATATTATGTATTTATTTTTCTCATGTTTGTTTCATTGACTAGTTCATCTAGTACTACTGGACAAATAGTAGTGATAGAAGGCATTCACATCTTATTCCTTACATTAATGGTCATGCTTCTAAATTTCATTGCTAAGTACAATGTTTCCTGTAATTTTTTGTGGGTCCAGGCTTTTCACAACACCAATGGTCTTTTCCCTCAGTGTGAATCTATCTGTGTTTCATAAATTTTGAGTTTTTGCTGAAGGCTTTTTAACTTTTATAGTGTTTTGCTGAAGAATGAATTTTTAGATGAGCTATGAGATTGAATTTCTACTGAAGATTTTCTGACACTCAGAGCATTCAAAGGATTTATACTGACTATGAATTTGTTGGTGTCTAATGAAGTATGAGTTCTGTATGAAAGTTTTCCCACATTCATCACACTGATAGGGCTTCTCACCTGTGTGTGTTCTCACATGTAGAGCAAGGGCTGAAATTCGAGAGAAGGCCTTCCCACATTCATTACACTTACTGTATTTCTCACCTGAATGACCTTGCACATGTATAGTAAGAGATGCTTCTTGAGAAAAAAGCTTCCCACATTCATTACATTCAAATGCTTTCTCACCTCTATGACTTCTCATGTATAATAAGTAATGAATCTTGAGAGAATGCTTTCCCACATTCATTATATTCATGGGGTTTCTCCCCTGTATGACGTCTCAGATGAAGCGTAAGAGATGAGATACGAGAGAAGGCTTTCATACATTCATTACATTCATAAGGTTTCTCTCCAGTGTGAATTTTCTAGTGCTCAATGAGATTCTGCTTATGTCTGAAGGCTTTTTCACACTTAGTACATTCATAAGGTTTTTCTCTAGTATGAATTTTTTCATGCTCAGTGAGATTCGATTTGTGACTACATGCCTTCCCACACTGCTTACATGTATAAGGTTTCTCTCCAGCATGAATTCTCTGGTGTCTTATAAGGTTTGACATCTGAATAAAAGCTTTTCCACATTCATTACATTCAAAAGGTTTCTCTCCAGTATGAATTTTCTTATGTGTAATGAGATTTTCCTTTTGACTGAAGGCTTTTCCACAATCATTACATTCATAAGGTTTTTCACCTGTATGATTTCTCATATGTACAGTGAGAGATGAGCTTCGGGAGAAGGCTTTCCCACATTCATTACATTCATAAGGTTTCTCACCTGTATGACTTCTCATATGTATAATAAATACTGAGCATTGAGAGAAGGCTTTTCCACATATATTACATTTATAGGGTTTCTCCCCTGTGTGACTTCTTATGTGTAGAGTAAGAGATGAGATTCGAGAGAAGGCTTTCCCACATTCATTACAGTCATATGGTTTCTCTCCAGTGTGAATTTTCTCATGCTCAATAAGGTTTCGCTTCTGGCTGAATGTCTTTCCACATTCATTACATTCATAGGGTTTCTCTCCAGTATGAATTTTCTCATGTTCAATGAGATTTGATTTCTGGCTGAAAGCTTTCCAACATGCCTTACATGCATAGGGTTTTTCTCCTGTATGAGTTCTATAGTGTCTAATGAGGTTTGACATGTGAATGAAAGCTTTTCCACATTCATTACATTCACAGGGTTTCTCTCCTGTATGAATTTTCTGATGTGAACTGAGGTTTTCCTTCCTGCTAAAGGCTTTCCCACATTCGTAACATTCATAAGGTTTCTCTGCAGTATGAATTCTCAAATGTCTGATGAGATCCAACTCCTGAATGAAGACTTTTCCACACTGAGCACACTTAAAAGGGGCTAATGCAATAGAGCATGACCTAGGGCAAGATTTTCCAGTTTTATTACATTCATGATGTTTCTTTATTACACAGGTTCTCCCATGATTAAGTAAGTCTAAATTATGTTTCATACTCTTTCCTGAAGAATCACATTTATAGAGGCATATCCTTGTAAAATTAATGTCTGAGTTCACAGGAGACATTTTTCCAACTTTTTTAACTTCATTGCCTTTCTCCTCAGTCAAGGTTTTCTTAAATATGGTTGTAACTCCTTTCACAAATCTTTGCTGTTCTGTTTCCATTTGCTCACCAAGTTCCCAGTCTTCTAAAGAGGAATAAAAAATAACTTATAAAAATTTCCATCATTATATTATTAATAAAATTTCAGAAATGAATTAATGTGAAATTGATTCTTTCGTTTCATGACTTGTCTCCCAAAATAAAAGAAATCTCAAGTGCAAATATTCCACATCACCTTGTTTTCAGAAAGAAAACTCCTTAGAAGATTTAGGAATAGAAAAAGTAACTTGTATGAGTATAAAGATTTTTGAATGCTTTTCATGTGACTTTGCACAGTGCAGAAATCAGGGAAATAAACAGATCAAAAAGTGACAAATGACAAGATGAAAATGTAAAATTATATACAATCAGCAGAATCCATCTAGGATGACTGCAAAAAAAGTAGAATGATCAGGTGAATCATCAAAGAATAAGTCATGCAATTAAAAATGACAGATTGAAGAACATGCACTTATATACACTCACTTCCAAAATTCCACTAAAATAACAGAAGAGAAAAAAATATATATAACTACAAGGACAAATCATTGGAGAAAGTACAAAAGAGGATAAGCTATGTCCTATTTTTAGAAGCTGGAAAATTGAGGGAGGACTGTTCATGGACAGTAAAGCTGAGGAAAGTGAAATGAAGTACTTATAAAGAATAATGTGAAGAAGTTGATTTGTGCCACAAAAGCCAAAATGTCTCAGGAATGGGTAGAACAAGGTACCTCAAAAGGTGAGCATGAAGGCTATGGCTAAAAATAGTATATAGAGCAGTTGCATTTCCCACCCTATAGAACTCATAGTAACTATTTTTCCACACCAGAAGATCAAGTTACATTTCATACAGAAACTGAATCAGAGAGGTGCCAAGGACAGCCTATAAGGAAGGAAGAACAAACAGGAAGATTAAGTGAAAATTTACATATTGAATGGCAAGACTTCCCCCACCCCAGTCCCTTCTACTTGCCATCCCCCAGAATACTGACAACCAGAAGTATACCTGTATATAAGAGATGGGAGAACTCTTTCTGAGGAAATTGAATAGACTCAGGGAAAAGACACAGACATACTGAATACCTGTACTTGCTTCTCACCCCAAAAATGCCCGGGTCCCTGCCCAGTAACACCACAGTGAAGCCCACTAGTTAATAAGAGTCTTGCCCAGATACACAATTCAAATCAGTTCTTTTTTCATGCATTGTACTTAAAGAACAGCCAGGGGTCACCAAACATGTGAGAGATGTCTTTCTTTAAATATCTGGCAGTAAAAAAAAAGAAACAGGAAGTAGCTGAAGAAATGTGAGAAAATGGAGCAAATCAGGGAGAAAAAGAAAGCTTAAAAATAACAGTAACAATATTGTAGAAAGCCCAAGAGAATGGAACCATCAAAGATGTCCATAATGGCAGTATAAAAAAAAAGAACAAACATAATAAAAAAGCACCTTTGGGAATTAAAATTGTGGTTAATAAATTTAGAAAGTTCAAGAGAAATTTAGAAAATAAGGGTTAGGAAATCTCCCAGGAAGAAGAACTAATACAGAAACAGATTCAAAATAAAAGAAACTATGCCCTCCTGAAAAGCACAAGATTTTGATGTTGTTAACAGGTGAATTTTACTAAAACCTTAAGATTATACCATTCTTATTTAAACTGTTCTAGAGCAGTGGGTCAGCAAACTACAGCCCATGGACCACATCCACCTGTTTTGTAAGTAAAGTTTTAGTGGAATATAGCCACACTCATCAGTTTATGTATTATCTATGGCCACTTTCACTACAACAGCAGAAATGAGTAGTCAACAAAGCCTAAATATCTACTATCTGACCCTAAAAGAAGAGTTTGCTGACCTCTGTTCTAAAGAATAGAAAAAGAAGCTTCCAAAATCTTTTTATGAAGAAAACATAATAACAGCAAATTTTGACAAAGAATGCAGAGACCCATAAAGGACAGATCTCCTCAATGTATATTGAGATAAAATCTAAAAGAAAAGCTTAACAACTAGAATCCAGTAGTATATCATAAGAATAAGACACAACCAAGTAGAATTCCTGGCAGAATTACTGCAAAGGTGGCTTAATGTTCAAAACCTCCACAAAAAAAATTATTAAAAAATAAATGGAGAGATACCACGTTCATGAATGGAGGACAAAATATAGTAAAGATGTCCACTGTCCTCTGATTTGTAGATTTAATGCAATCTCAATCTAATTCTCAACAGTTTTTTTCTGTGGAACTAGATAAAGTGATTCTAAAATTTATATGGAAATACAAAGGACATAGAAGAGCCAAAACAATCTGGAAGAAGAAAAACAAAGTGGAAGGACTTGCTCTACTAGATATCAACACTTATTAAATCAGTTTACTAGTGGCACAAGATAAGACAACTAGAATGATAGAAATGAATAGAGCACCAGAAATAGATTCTCATGTGTATGGGTACTTGACTCATGAGAAAGGTGGCACACCAGAGCAGCAGGGAAAGAATGGTCTTTTCAATAAACTGTGCTGCATTATCTGGATACCCAGGTGCAAATAAGTGAAACTTGCTATCTGTCTTACACCATATGGAAAAACCAATTCCATGTAGACTGCAAACCTAAATTTTGAAGGCAAAACAGTAAACCCTTTAGAAGATAATGTCAGAGAATATCTTCATGAGCTCGGGTTAGGAAAATAATTTTTAAACAGGATATACAAATCATTAATTTTAAAATAAAAGGTTTACAAAACTGACTATATTAAACTTAAGAAGATCTGTTCATCACAAAATGCCATGAGGAAACAGAGAAAGCAAGCTATAAAATGGAAAAAGATTTGTGCAGCACATACAAGCCACAAAACACTCTTATCCAGAATATAAAAAGGTTCTTTTTCAACTTAACAAGAAAAAAACAATTCAGTAGAAAAATAGGTAAAAGCCTTGGATTAACAATTCACAAAATGGGAAAGTCATACATAATAAACGTATGAAAAGGTGTTTGACCTCACAGGTAAGCAGAAAGAAGCAAATTAAAGCTACAATGAGATATCACTCATATATTCAACAGAATGGCTAAAAATAAAAAGACCAATAATAGTAAATGTTGGCAAGTCTGTGGAGCAACACTTCACACTTACAGTGAGAATATACTGGAACAAACATTTTGGAAAATGCTCTGGCATTATCAAACTAAAGTTGAAAATACACATAACCCATTATGCTGTAATTATACTCCTAAGTATATAACTGACAGAAATGCATGCACATCTGCATCAGGAGGTATATACAAGGATGTTCATAGCAGCATTATTTATAACAGCTATAAATTGGAAACCACTCAAATTTCCATCAATAGAATGGATAAAAAAGTTGTGGTATAGTGATGCAAAGGAAAACTATTCAGCAATAAAAATGAATGAACTAGTTACATATAATAGCATGAACAAATCATGCAATTATAATATTGAGCAAATGGCAGCAAGCATAAAAAATACATATATGATCCAATTTACAGAAAGTTCAGAAAACTAAACCATAATCTTTAGGATTGCATAGTTAAGTTATAAAACTAGGAAGAAATAATGGGGCCGGCCCGATGGTGTAGCAGTTAAGTTCGCACATTCCGCTTCAGTGGCCCAGGGTTCGCTGGTTAGGATCCTGGGTGCGGACCTACTCACCACTCATCAAGCCATGCTGAGGCGGCATCCCACATAGGAGAGCTACAGTTCTACAACTATGATACACAACTATGTACTGGGGCTTTGGCGAGGAAAAAAAGAAAAAGAGGAAGATTGGCAACAGATGTTAGCACAGGGCCAATCTTCCTCAAAAAAAAAAAAAAAAGAAGAAGAAATAAGGAGAGTGATTACCATAAAAGTCAGGATATTGTTAAATTCAGGATGAAGGGTAGGAATAGAGATTGTAAGGCATCAGTGAAGGACTTCTGGGGAGCTGGCAATGTTCTATTTCTTCACCAGGGTACTGACTACATGGATGTCTAGTTAATAGTAATTTGTTTAAGTTATACATCTATGTTTTATGCTTTTTTGATGTGTTTGTTATACTTCACAATATAAATGGTAAAAAAAAAAGTGCAGAAGGGTAGTAAGGCTGGAAATGGGCTAGCAGGAAGGCAGCAACTTTTATAACAAAACGGGGGTGGCATGGGAGAGTTTTTATAGTATGATGATAAGTAATGGGAGATATGCCTGTAGCTCTAAATTTATGATTCTGAAGCATTTCACAATGGATGCAAAGAGCTAAAAGAGAAAGAAATGAAAAATGAACCTACATGTCAAACGGTTTTGGTAAGACTGTAGAATTTTGAAAGACTGAATACATAAGCAGATAACTAGATGAAAGCAGGAGGAGGTAAAGAATGAGAATGCAAGTAAAAGGGAAAATAATCGTGAAAACAAGGTTGTAAAGGAAGTGGGGAGATTTGGCATCCAGAATATAAGGAAGGTTAATCCTCTAAATTTCAATAAAAAGAGAGCCCTGATGTATAAGAAATATCTAGAAGTGCCATCTAGGTATCTGAGGAAGTTATATCAACTGCCACTTGAAAGACTAGGCCCTTTAAGAAAATCACACTGGAAAACGTTTCAGAGGTGTTATCCTCTGAACACCTCTGCAGAGGCAGTCATGTGACTGCACCATGCACACATGCATCACTGACTCACCTGAACGTCTTCTGAACATTCCTTCCTCTACAACCCATGGCTCTTCTTCCTGCTCCAACTTGAAAATGATATCTGGTTTGGTGAGCTGATAGCCTGTTTATCAGAAGATATATGACTTGGGTATTAACATGAGGGAGAAAGTACCATCTCAGAATTTAGGCTGAGTATGGGAAGCTACAGGGCTTCTGATGAATGAGGAAGGTGTAGTTTCTAGAGAGGCATAACGAAATTTCCTGTGAAATGCAACAATGGCTGGAATATATACTATCATGTGAACAAAGGAAATAAGAATCTTTCAATCTGACAAATCAAGGTTATACTCCCCATACCATTTAAAGGCCTCTCCTATTTCAGAAATGGAGAATCTGATTTTCACAGAGAGATTATCCTTACCTACTATTAATAGGTTGTTATAGTTCTCCAGCATCACATCCCTGTACAGATTCCTCTGAGCAGGTTTCAGTTGTTGCCATTCCTCCTGAGTAAAGTCAATAGTCACATCCTTGAATGTTACTGTTTCCTGTAACAACATATTCCTCATCAATTTGAGAATACTGAGTGACATCTTCTGAAAGCATTCAGGGGTCAGAATTCATAAAAAGCTACATAGATGCCTAATATTTATCTAGTTTTATTTTGTATTCTAGAAGAGAATAAGTCATATAGGATATTTTCTATAAGCACAGGTTTATTCGTTGCTTCGGCCAACTTAAAGGTACATTATCTGCTATCTGTGAGAGAGAAGATCCTATACCGGGAAATGACAGAGATGGAACTGAGGAAGAGATGGCTATGTGAGTCACTGGGACAGGGAATAGGGCAAAGGGTGCTGGTGGCAGAAGGTGGTAAAAGGGAGATAATGAAATTCTGGACATGTAAAACTCAAGTTTTCTACAGAACAACCAGGTAAAGAGATCCATCTGACTGTTAAACATGTTAATCAGGAGCTCGAGTAGGGACTAGAAAGGGAATGAGTAATTTGATAATCATCAGTCTGTAACTGGTAGCTGAAGCCACTGCAGTGGGATGTGATCATTCACTGAGGCTATGC